ACTCACTCATCAATCATTCTGTGCCAGTGAAATCCGATAGCAGAAGTTCCCATTCCAACTGGTCTCTAACAACATTTGCTACTATGCAAGAACCAAGTCTTTCATTCCACATAGTATGTTAATAACATGTTTGAAGTAAAAACTGATCATTTCTGACTATTTGGCAGGTTCCATTTCAATTAAATAGTAAAATTTGATGTATTCATTTAAAAAAAAATTTCATTGAAGTGTTTTTTTTTTAAGTTAGCTACAGTAATATCCTTACCCCTCTTCACTGTAGTTCTGCATAAAAGTTGTTTTATTATGTTTGCTGGTTTCATAAAACTGATTTTTTTTTTTTTTTTTTAGGATTTGTTAGGATAGGCTCCCTCTAAATATAGATTCTCTGTAGTATTCTTAGAATCACAGTTTCAACACTAATTCTTGTACAGGAGGAGAAACTTCAACTGTCATAAGCAAAACAACCTCAGACAGTTACTCAGCTGTCTTTTATCAGTGTCAGTATTTTGGAATTGTGAAAAAATTCCATTTCCCTTCCCACATATCTAACATTGGTGAGATAAATAGGCAGTGACTAATCATTTAAAAAATGAATTTCTGGTGTAGGAATTTTCTAAATGATGGTACTGGAGACTTGACAAGGAAACAAGACCCCTTGATAGGTCACTGGAAGGATAAGGAATGACTGCTCTTCCGGCAAGCAGTAAACCAGGAATAGTGTGGCTTGGCAAGAGACAACTGTGGTGGTTGAAGCTCTGACTTTGTATTCGTACTTCATTTATACCCCAAGGCATGCCAGTATCTTCGCACAACATATACCCCCATTGTGTGTTACTACTTACATCATTTCACTAAGAATGAGAACAACAGTGGTCTTTCCCAAAAGGCCTTTTGTTTGAAGTAATGAAAACTTTTTTCTGCTTAGAAAATACAGTAGCCAGGAAACTTGCAGTATGTGGAATAACTTCTGACAATATAATACTAACACTGAAAAGAAACAGAGAAGGGGTGTATATTATTATACTGGCTGCCAGACAAAAGGTTGTATTTAAAAATATATATGCCTCTTGAATATGACTTGTGACAGGCATACAGCCTGAAGATTGGCATGTGACAAGGGGAAATCAATAAAAAATGCACAATGATATTATAAATATTTATAGACTAGCTAGATGAATACAATATGACAGGGAGAAGCCAAGAAGGCTTTTAAAATAGTAAATGTACCTCTAAAACATACTAAAGTTCTTCTGAGTGAGGTAAGATGGGACATAAGGCATTACTCAGGCTCTCATTTAGAGGGACGATCACAACATCTTTGATTAAAATCCTTTATAAGCAACCATGAAAAAGGCTTAGTCAAAGAAGTAGTGAGGCTAAGTAAAGTTGGAAAACAGGAAAAAAAATAAAAGAATGCTTTTCAGAAGGGAAGATGTTATTCTCTGACTGTCCCAGTGGGACATGTACTATTATTGTTCATTGATTTACAACCTAGAAAGGTGAGGAAATAGTTCTGTTTGCTGCAGGATTAAAAAGAGCCAACTCTGTCCAAAGATTAGGAATTTTCCAAGAGCCCTTAAAAGAGTATGGATGGGTGTAACTGACTGTTGACATGGTTGCACATCTGCTATTGCATAGATCTGAAAGCTATGCCTGCAAGACCGCAAGGTTTATAAGCAGCAAAAGGAGAGCGTAGGTAAGAGTGGAAATCAACAAATTTGGTTCCTTAAATACATGGAGAAATATTCCTTCAGTCGTTCTTCTATCCTCCTGTCCCAAAGAACTTAGGCTTTACTGTGTGGCAAATTCCAGAGGTCTGAAGCTACTGAAAACTATAGGAGGACTTACATTGTGGGGCTCTGCCCCATTCATTCTCTATTTCGGTGAAAACGTCAAAAATCAGCTGAAGGTTTTATATGGAAGAATTTACACTTTTCTGCTTGTGCTGCAGATGGCTGAATTTGCTCACTCTGCAAAAGTTGCAAGAAGAGTACATAATGAAAGGGAAATTTACTAAAAATGGAAGAAGCTAGGCAAGGGACCGACTTGTTCCACCTCAGCGGCAGTGAGGCCAACAAAAGCCTATTCAGCAGAGATATTTGTATCTGGGGACAAGATATTTCCTGTGCTGAATTCTTACTTTCAGTGTTCTCGTCCTTGTCCAACAAGGCACGGTTTTGCTAATGGTTGGGTCAGGGTGCTAATTATCTTTGTGAAAAATGGGTGGGTAGACAGTCTAGGAGATAGATGTGTCCTAATTTGTTAAGGGCTTTTAAAGATAAATGGCCTTGAAGTAGGTTTGTTTTCAAATGGATAGCCAGTAGAGTACCCAAAGCAGTGGCAAAGTGAGCTCTCATCAGTTTTTCTAAGTGATGCATATTCTGTCCGCTGATGCAGTCTTTGCCATCAGAAGTCCCAATTTATTAATAGCTTTTAAGGCAATGATAGTAAATTACTGCAGTCCAATTTTATTACTGTTTCACCTCTACTGAAGACCAAACGCTTTATGCAGCTTCATATTAACTCAGTGAGTACCATTAAAATATTGACATTTAGGCTTGTTTGGGTAGCATTAATCATAGCATTTTATTATGCATTAATTGCAGTTGTTTGAAATGACCAGAGCATTACCTTTTCTAAAAGCAGGAAAAAAATTTATACTTCTCCACACTGGCAATTCATGACCATGCTTTTTTTTTTTTTTTTTTTTAAAAAAAAAAAAAGCCCTCCTAATTAGGTGGGCCGGAGGCATCTCTTCCTTTCCTCCTTTGCTTCAGCTGCACAAGTAAGAACCAGCTGTTCTTACAGATCTTGTTGGGAGCCCTTGCACGTATAATTTCTGAAAATCAGCCTCTGAAGTCTCAATGTGAATATCCACAGCCAGGGCCGTGTCCTCAAAAAATATTTCTTAATATCACAGAATCACAGAATGGTTGAGGTTGGAAGGGACCTCTGGAGATCATCTAGTCCAACCTCCCTGCTCAAGCAGGGTTATCTAGAGCACATTGCCCAGGGTCGCATCCAGGCGGGTTTTGAATATCTCTAGCGAAGGAGACTCCACAACCTCTCTGGACAACCTGGTCCAGTGCTCTGTCACCCTCACAGTCAAGAAGTTTTTCCTCAGAAATAACGAAAATTATTTTCCTTATATTTCCTGTATTTTCCTCAGAAATAATAATACATAGCAAGAGTCCTCCTAATGTGCAAAAAAAAAGCCAAAATCTACTGTTTTTCCATATGCTGATATAGCTTAAGGTTTAAAACAGACACAGGAACGCCTTTTGTGATTCATCGGCCAGCAGGAGTAGGTTTACGGTGTCCACGTCTGTTTGTATTATCATATGGGTAAAAGAACCTGTTAGGTTTGCTGACTCTTTCAGTGGAGGGCATCACTGGATGATTATGTTTAATATAAGGAGTTGGCAGCCTTTCTCATTTAACCATCATTAGCAGATCTGCTGCTGAGGTTCCATTTTGTGAGGCAGCTGGAAATTGGTACTTAGTTTGAATGTATTGTGTTTTACCTTGCTAAGTTCAAGGACAAGGCAAAACTGTTCAGACTAAGCAAAGAAAAAGGCTTTGCCCACCTCTCCCTTTATTTACTTGGCCCTCTGACCGCCCCTTCCCCCCATTCTTTTTTTAAGTAAATTTTCTGTTGGCTTCTTCTCTATTATGTGATAATATATACGGACTAAATAGAGGTGTGGAACATAGCAAAGACGCAAGTGTGGAATATGAGGGAAGGTATTTGACTAAGGATCACACAGAAGAGATCTGCGGTAAACATATAGGTGCTGCAGTCTCTTAATCCTTACTTTATCCAGCCATTCGTAATCTTAAAATGTTACTGTCCTCTCCCCAGTCCCCCATGCCAAGATGTTCCTGCACCTTCATGAATTTCACTGTGTTTATTTTTTCCCTTGTAATGTCATGTGGCTCAGGCCACACCTTCAGCTATAGCCTCGTTCTGTCTCCTGCTCTAGTGGATATGTCCAAAAGCCCAAAAGACCTTCTAGTGTAGAGGATTTTTTTTTTTTTCCAATTACTGTGGCTGCACATGACTAAATAATACTTCATTAACCTGATTGCCTAAGGATGTCAAGCTCCAGGGGAAACCTGTATTCCTGTATGATAAGCAAGATAATTAAGAAGTGAAATAATGTAAATCCCAGCACAAGCAACCCTAATAAGATGGGGGTATGTACTCTTTGAAACCAGTTTGGGATATCTTGAATCCTTTTATTTCAAGACTTTTATATTTGTAAATTTATTTTTGTCCCTCACAGTGGGCATATTTTTAGGGCAGGAGGCTTTAGAAAAGAGCTTGTTCAGTCTGTGGGAGCAGTTCAGGTTGCTGGTAAATCCAGTGAGATTTTTAAGTCTGTGGTATCACCAAGATAACAGGCTAAAGTTCGCTTTTGCTTTTACCGCTTTGATTTTAAGCGCCTTGGGCATGGCCTTTTGTTCTGTGTTTGTACAGCATCTACCGCGGGGGAGCCTCAGACCACGATTAGAGCTTCTAGGTGATCTGGAAGTGTAGGAACAGAAACCAGTGATGTCAGCAGGAGTTCTGCAGCCACTGGGAGAATGGACTATTGAACCCAGATTAGAGACAACTTCATTCCGAGTCAGCTACAGTCTCCCCTGTTAATAGAGGCTAGGGCTAAGCTAATATCAGTAAATGTTACATCCCGACGCAACAACAAGAGGGAGATTAAACAAGAGAACTGTGTAGAAGAGGGGTCCTGTCGAGGATGGCCTTCAGTGGATAACAATCTCTTTTAAATTAAAAGGTTTTGCTGGAAGCCTATCAAGCAAAAGGTGTTTCATGAAGCTCTGGCAGCTTCTCTATCTGAAAATGATGAAAGCTAAGAAGCAAGGAAATTAATGAAGTTGCAGCAAGGGTATTGGACTAAAATTAAATATAAAAAAGTAAAATAAAGAAAATAAGGGGGGAAAATCAATATTCTTCCTAATAAGAATCAACATTTCTCTTACAGGAAACCTGAAGTTATGCCTTGTTCTTCTGAACCAGCCTTTCAGCAAAGGTCATTTTCACTGTCTGTGGAACAAAGGTAATAAGAAGTTACATATATCTTCATTTGCTTATTTGTTTAGCTGCTACCCAGCTAATCTACTTCATGGCTGTTGAATTGCAATATGGCAATTACCTCTAACTAGAGCAACCTTCCAGTCAGAGTGTGAATCGGCAGAGTATGTCCCACGTTGCTGAGTGCAGCAAATAAGCTTTTTATGCAAATTCTGCATCTCTACATGCCTTACGTCAGTGGGAACTTTATGGACTGATCTGTGTTAGAGTCTGTAGCTTTTCAGAGGCATCTTAGGAATGATTGTTGTTTTGCTGACAAAGTGCAGTAGATAAATGGTGTGTTTATGAGTTTGGAGGCGAGCATTCCTTTAAAGGTCATCAGTGAAATGTGTTAATTTTAATCAAAATAAAATAAACCGTGCAGATATTGTGTTGTGAAAGCAGTAGGAATTTGTGTGCCTGTCAGAAATATGCAAATCAGATTTCACTGCCCCTTTGTTTAATATGCACAGTGCTAATCATCTCTGGTATGATAGCTGCAGATTTACTGACATTTTGTGGAGATATATAAATCTTTACCGGCTTGGAGCTATTAAATTCTCCAGTGCAGAAATGTAGTTCTTCAGAAGCTTTCTGATAAACTGCAGGAACTGTCTCTAACTTGTTACCAGGCTCGGAACCGTGCAGAGAGATTCCTGTTAACTGACTGGGGCAGATACAGCTATTTAATTTCACCACAGGCGTAAGAGTTGGTGGGGGGTAGCTTTACGGTTAAAAGGAATTGGAGTAAGAGATGAAGTGGGGAGAATGTATATTCACATCATCTAATTCCAGCAAACCTAAAGTAGGTACCTACCCAGTCATAGGAGAGAGAAAAGGAAGGAGAGGCTTGTTCAGGGTGATTCAGAACACCTCAACTAGCACTGTACCCCAAATAGGCTCTTTTTTACTTGCAACATCAGCAAAAAATGTCAACAAGAAGTGCTCAATTGAAGAACTGTCAAATGTATTTTCTAGATATGATTTTAAGTATTTTTGACTTAAAAAGACACACTGAAAGGACGTACTTTATCATTCTTCTCTTCAATATTTAATGCAAAGTATCTTGATCTTATTTCCCCAGCCCACCTTTCCTATGTTTTGAGGCTAGAGGCCAGAAAACAGCAAACCAGACAAATGGCCAGTTACAGAACTGCAGTATTCAGTGTATTGCAGTACCTTGCATGCGTTGCTTTTATGCCGTGGCTCTGTTACAGCAGACTTTTTTTTTTGTCTGACCTTTGGAATTTTAAGTCTTTCTCTTGCAATCAAATCTGTGCAGGCTGACTCTTGGGGCATGGTGTGCTTCTTACTGTAACACTAATGGGCCTTTAACTGTAGTGCTTCAGTGAAGGGTTAGAATAAGAAGCTGAATACAATCGAGTAGAAGTAGAATGTCTTGATTGAGACTACCACAATCTGTTCCTATCCTCTGAGCATAACAGCATTGAAAGGAGTTACGGGTGCTTTGAATGGCTTTTCAAAGTGTCTGTCAGAGTTAGGAGCAGAAGTCCTGTTTATGCCAATAAGACTTTTGCTAGTAGGTTACTTAAAGATATAGATGTAAATTTTTTGTCCAAGCAAAATGATAGAGAAAGATGCTGACACAGTGAATCTGAACAGTTTTTCTTGAAATCATTTCAGTTTCAGCATTCCTCAGCTCTGAACCCAGGACAAGGTTCTGGCAACACCTGACTGACAATCATAGTGGGCTGCTATAGGTATCAGCAATCTTGTGGCTCCTGGACCTTGGCTCTGGAGGAGTCTCTGCAAGTGGACTGTTGCAGGACTAAGAGACCATGAATGAAAAAATCTTCTGAAGGAGTATTTGCTGATCAGCTGTATTTGCTTGAGATCTCATAAAAATTCTATTATGTGTGAGTAGTCAGAAGGAAATGATTGGACTGTTAATAGACACTGAGTATTGCCAGCTACACAAGTCTGGGGAGAAAGGAGAGAAAGCACACAGGAAAAAGGAACTGGAGAATATTTGACTAACTTCTTTAAGTTATAGCAATCTTGGGTGTTACGCTGGGTAGAGAATGCTGAGACAGAAGTGTTATTTTCAAGTGGGTTGTGCCCTCCTATCAAAATAACTTGTTTTATTAGCCCTGTCTCTTTAGCATCAAGTAAGAAGGAAGGTGTGATGTTATGTCTCCTGAGTTTAAAAAAAATCACGTGGATAAGTGAGGCTATTCTAGGCTAAAATCATCCCAGGTGTAACTTTTCTTGACCTCAAGAAAAAATGGTTGCAGCTAATTAGCCTTTGTTTTAGTACAGACTTGTATGAAATCTATTTTTACTGACATACTTTGCAAAGAACTATTTCAAGCTGTGCAAGTTTGCATAAACTTCCTTTCCTCTGCTTTGTGAAGGACACTGAAATCCACTTACAGGGGACAATTAGCAGCTTTTACTACTCTCACCATACGAACAGGCTAAGTTAGAGCATTAATGTAATGTTTCAAAAGCTAGGAAGCCCAGGTTTTAGAGGCTGAAAACAATAGATGCTTTCTGGAGAGTAAATGAAAGTTACTGGGATTTTGATTTTGTTATTTAAAATCTCTTTAACTGGAAATTCAACCACTTATTTATACCAAGAATTTCAGCAGTTGCTAGCAATTGTAAGTGCCTTGGTTTTCTTGATGCCTCCCTAGGGAGGTACCAGGAAAGGGGCAGAATTATTGCAGTGCTAAAAAAAATCACCTGTGTAGAATGCCTCAAGTTTCAGGATCTGGAAAGTGTTCCTTGTTTCTGAAAACATTACCCTTTCAAGCTGTAGTACTCAAGTGATCCAGAATTGTCTGCATGTCCTCACCTGACATGAACCTGAGTTCACCTCACTGAACTCCCGTTCAGTGCTATATTTCTGAGAATGACAAGCTTGCTGTTAAAAAGCATCTTCAGATTTGCTAGTGGAGAAAGATATGTTGCAATAGAATTTTTCCTTAGGTTCCCTTTAACGTCCGGCTGAGTGTGCTTATGTCCCTGGGTTTACTGATGAATGCAGTTGCAGGATTAAAATACTGGTTAATCAAGTCCTGCTTGGCTGAAAAGGAGGGCTGTTACAGGTGTGCTTTAGAGTAAGATAGCATGTTTGTAGGTATTCTTCAGTCCTTGGGACTGTTGTGTCAGGTTAGCCACTCTGTCTTTCTCAAAAGGATTGTGATTTCTTCCTGAAAATAAAGGCTATCCCAGAAAGCTGCAAATCAGACAACATGTTGATCTACTTTAAATATTAGCCATTTGTACTACAAAATGTTTCTGGATGATGTACAAGAATAAACTACCAACATCCTTTTGGAATAGGCTGACTGAATCCTCACTTACGGGATGCGTGTTTAGTGTTGGATAAGCAGATGGGAAGGAGACGTGACTGTATCAGTCCCTTCTGTTTTAAAGTTTCCAAGACTGGGCTGTGAAAATGTGTGTTCTCAAGGAGTACTTCCCTTAAATATTCCTTTCCATGAAGCATTCCTTTTAGTTAAGGAATTTGGGGTCTAGCTATGTGTCGTTATTATGCTGCCCTACCAGCCACTTCTCTGTAGGCATGATCAACAGATAATGTTATGACACTTTGTAGATAACACACACGAAGGAACTCTAGAAGGAGAGGCTTACCCTAGAGATTTCAGCTCTAGATTTTTGGAGGGTCTATATATGAAGAGAGCAGAAAGTAGACTTACAGCATGGGTGTAGAATACCCAAATTTGAACTTACGTTAGACTGTCTTCATTTAAATGACTTTTTTTAGAATACATCTGTTACGATTGCATAAGTTGCATAAATTGAATTTTGTCAAATTTCCATCCCTATAAATTCCACTTTTTCAACCATCAAAATTGCTATTGGATTTTAAAAATTCACTCACATTTTGAATGTGAGGCAACTTTTACCTGTCAAGGTCAGCCTCCTGTTTGGTGATAATGCTGCTAATTGAATGGATTGTTAGCACTGGGAGGTGACTGAATTACAGACTACTTCCTTTTCTTGAGACATCAAGAAAGGAAAGGTGCTGATGTGTATTACGAATTTCAGTCATCTGTCTTTGAATGCCTCCTGTTCCTTCCATGCATGCTATGTTCCAGATGTTTTTATCTGCAGTGTAATTGGTGACTGCTTTTTTGAATGTCTTCTGTTGAGGTCCAAGAGTTATGTATAAAGGCAAATAACACATAAATGCAGGTGGCTAGAACAGTTTGAATGTCTCAGGGCAGGGAACAGCAGCAGTTTAACAGCAGGAGGGAAATAGCCTTGCTTCCCTGGTGCTGTTTTTTCTTCTCTGTGATTGATATCTTTTCCTCTATTGCCTGAGTGTCTTTACTGGTTGAACTCACCTAAGCTTCGGGAATTATTGGTATATACATCCATTCAGTTGCCCTCTTATTTGTCTGCAATGAAATTGCCTTGTTGGCATATGCTGCACTTTTTTTCTCACCTTTTATTTTCATCATTTCTAGTTGAACTTACTTGTAATATATCTCAAATTTGTACTAGACCCAGAATTGGCAGCTGGCATAAAACTTGAGTGAATTTAGAGCAGCTACTATTAATAAATAGGAACATGTTCATAAAAATGGTGATTGGGATGTCGCATGGACGTGTATGCTTTATTGCAGTTTCTAGCAGGCATCCAGACTAGCAGTAACTCTTAGTACTGGCCTCGGCTAAACTACTCTGTTCTCCCCTGAGTAATATTAGGCACCTGATAAGTCAATAATGAAGTTCATTTTTTCCAAATCTAAATCAAAACAGGAATATAATTTCTAGTTTGCATTTAGTAGCTTGAATTTGCCGATCTGTACCACTTGTTGTAGATTTAAACAACATTTTCTTACTGTGGAATGCCTGATGTTGGACTGCATGCAGTGAGTTAATTTTCTTTAACTACAGGAGTCTGAGAGGAGTTATTTCAAGTGTTCCTGAGGGTAGGGGATCTAGCATATACTTGAGAAACAAGAAAATCTGGCCCTGATTACGGTTGGC